CAAATCACTTGAAGGTGAAAAAGGCCAATAAACCAATCCAAGCCCTCTTCAACAGATATCTCTTGTGATACATGTCACTGGAATATTGCTTAATTTTTATATTGCACTCAGTGATGGTTGCTTTTTCCAGAAAAATGACTTTGTACACTTGACCATCAACCTGCATCAAATCACTATATAATCATAATAATATTAATACTCAATACAAGTACTCTTTATTGCTGTGGATATTGTTACTGCAATATTTGCCTTTTATGCTCAAATGAATCCACATCTCTATGAACAAAAGGGGCAAATTGTCCTGGCAGTGCACCATTTAACACCCGTATTCTGAAAGCTCACTCACACTCAGCCAGTGGGGGTTCAATCTGAGCTTGCCTTGAGTGTCAATGTTATTTTTGAACAGCTGGAGGGCTAGTGTCACCTCGTACTCAGTGACTACTTACTTTCCCTATTCCAAATCAGCATTGACACTCAAGAGAAGCTCAGATCGAACCTCCACTCATCGAGTGTGAGTGAGCTTTTAGAATACGGGCATAAATCTCTCTATTTAAATGCTATCTATAGTCCATCTAGCAGGAATCAAACCTGCGTCTCTGCGATTCCGGTCCAGTGCTCTAACTAACTAAGCTACAAAGTCCAGGTGACAAGCTCTAACTGCACGTTCATGTATATATACAAAAGTAAGTGTGCAGCTGGTTGGATTCCTGCCAGAGGGCTTGTAGTTGCATTTTTCACAACTGCCCTTGGTCAGGACTCATAAATGTATAAACTCAAAATATTTATCTACAAAACCTTTCAAGTTTCAACAGTTAGTTCTATCGGGTGAGATGCACTTAGTGAACTCAGTCAACAGATGATGATCAGGGTGCTACTAATAGTCAAAAAAATGTTACAATTTACTTTAAATTTACGTCATTCCTGAAAGAAGTTATTTATATATTACCTTATTATTTACATTGTACAACCATAATATCTTTAATACTCACGTTTATCTTTAAATATTCTGCATATTCTTCCATGTTTATACAATTTTATAAATCCTGGAATTCCGCCATATTGGAAAACATTTACGGGATTTACCAAGCCCGCGAGCACCTGCTTTGCAGGCTAGAAAACGTTTTGTGCTAGTCCTCTTGCGCGCGTTTCGCTCGGTGACGTCACGGAAATCAAAAGCGTGCACAGAGGACTTGGGACTAGTCTGCGGCTGAAGGTCGGCGAAAATGGCCCTAGGTCACATGACACCCAGAATTTCTGGGTGTTTTGATACGGTAATATGTATGAAATTAAATCTTTGTTGTTTGTTTACGAATAATAAATGTGAAGTAATGAACTATTTGCCAACTTATTCATCTAAACTACTAAAGACGTTATTTTACGAGCACTATGCTTGTATAATTCTTATATCCATGAGTCCAACAAAGACATAGCACGGCAATTATAGGACGTAAGTGAATCTTGACTATATAGTCTATACTCTCGGTTTTTCTTAAGTTTACCGTATAATTTGAAGACAAAAAATTTTAAAGCACTAGACTCTAGAGTTTTTCTGTGTTGGTGTTGTGTACTCAGGTGAATAATATGTTTGCGATGTTACTCTGAGTGCATATCCACACCGGGCGAGCTTGAAAAATATGCCCGGCCACGGTGGGATTCGAACCTACGACCTTTGGAATACCAGCCCAATGCTCTTCCAACTGAGCTACGCGGTCAGGACGGTTCGTGTAAGCGATATTTCGGAACAGTATCTCGTCCTGACCGCGTAGCTCAGTTGGAAGAGCATTGGGCTGGTATTCCAAAGGTCGTAGGTTCGAATCCCACCGTGGCCGGGCATATTTTTCAAGCTCGCCCGGTGTGGATATGCACTCAGAGTAACATCGCAAACAGACTCTAGAGTTGTTTGAATTATTGAATAAATTATACTTTTTTTATTATGCGTTTTTGAACAGACCAATGGGATGGTAGAATTGATCAGCCAATCCCAGGGCCATTTTCGCCGATCGTCAGCCGTGGAGGCAAAATGCCAGGCCCCTGGGGATGAGGTTGATTCAACAGAAAAGCCTGACAAACCATTTGACTACCACTACAGATCTGATTGGTTAATAGTCCCTTAACAGTAAAGCGGTAGCGGTGATCGAAATAAAATCTGAACCTCATTGCATCACGAAACCTTTTTTGGCCTGAGAGCCGAACAACAAAAGGCTTACGAGAACGAGGCTACGGGGCCAAGAAAGGACTTGTGACGTAATTATTGAAATGGTATACTACTTACACTGCCATGGGTTTCGGCTTCTCTTCTAACAACTTTCTCTCAAAGAATGCACCGAAGTAATTCAGTGCCGCCCAAAGAAAATCATCTAGTTGATCTGAACTACAAAAAAATGAAGATGTGTTTCAAAATCCGTATACAAAAAGAAATCCGGAGCGCCCCTGTCTCTTTCACCGCTCACACTATATACGCGATAATATTTTTTCTGTGTTCAGATGAGAACACGTGTTTCTGTGTTTAGATGATCTGATCCATGATAAAATTAGAGTCTGGAATCCCGTCCTCAAATTCTCAGGTTAATACGTAATGGAATGTCCAAAAAAATGCTGGTTTGCATGAAAAAGTTGCACGTACAATAGAACCAGAAAATTGCTTCGTCAAAAAGTTTAATAGTAGCCGAATGGCCTAGTTAGGCTTCTCCAGAGTTCGTACATGTCAGGAACAGTCAAATTCAAGGACTTTTCAAGGACATTCAGTGCCATGTGTCAGCAAATTCAAGGACTAAATACGGGAGAGAAGGCGTTAGAAATCTTAGGATTCAGTAAAATGTGATGTTGAATTGTTCAAAAAGGGCGCAACTTTAATGCATTCCAAACAGTTTTATCGTACACTATAAACATGCAAAATAAATTCAACAACTACACAAGACAGTTCGAGTTTATATCATGACAATAGAGACAGCGTACAGGCTTGATAACATGACTGGAATAAATTGCACCATTTACCAGAAATATAACTCCTTGAATAAAGGTGAATTTTTTGTTCTTTCACTAAGGCAATTATTTTTAGCCACAGTCTTGACATCATTCATGGTGACAGTGTTATGTTCTGCAGTGTTTGTGGTTAGACCATTACGTATGCTGGGTCTAGCTGACGACCCCCTCACAGCTGTGGAGGGGGGACCTGCTTGCAACTTCATACCACATCTCTTGTTCAACACATTTGATGTTATCCTGGAAAAATAGTTGAAAAATAAAAAATTATCCGTTTTATTCTTTTTCCCACCATGAACGACAGACACATGAACAACACGGATCAGTCAGTTTCCCCCGGCCCAGCTGGTTAATCGGTTGGTCAGTAAGTCAGCCAGGCTAGTTAGTTAGGCAGGCAATCAGTATAGGTGTATGGGGTGGGGACAGTTGAAAGTTTGCCCGAATTTTGATGTAGGATTGTAATGAAATAACCTGAATTTAAGATATTTTCTGATAAATCTGCCCAAATTTTCTTCCCTTTTCCTAGCATTTTCCCAAATTTCCATGGTTTTCTGCCCCTGTTTGGTATGCCTATGGCAATCAGTATCAATCTGTCAATCACTCAGTCATTAATTAAATCAGCCCACTGGTGGGTTCCCAACTGGAATTTGGAGTAGGGCACTTTTTGGACCAAGTAGGCAGTTATGTGGTGGCTCAGGTATCACTTACCTAGGAGGGGCAGGGGGGGGGGCAATGGCATCTTCTCGTGAAGATTTTGAAATTTAAACCCTCAGAAGTGGCATTGATTTTTTTCGTCAGTAATATATACATAAATATAAATTGTACCTATCGTTGCGGTTGCCATGCCCTCCGGTCATTGGTTTGAGAGATTTCTTGCTCTGATTGGTCGATGATAATCCTGAAATATTACTATTGGAAGAGAATAAATTTCTTTATTCCCATTTAATGTCAAACAGATATAGATTACATGACTAAATTAGAGAGATCCAATTAGTGCTCAAAGAGGAACTCTAGCTTATATGGTTAACATTACCAGGACTTAAAAAATACAATACTTTACCTATATTTTTTCATGTTATCAAAATGGTTCATATATCAATTTCCCAAAGTGATAATGGGCAAACAACTGAATATCTATTTTATCAACCATCATTTTAAATTGTGTTGTTTGCACACCCTCCCCCTACCTAAGTGGTACACATATATGCATCATGCATAAAAAAATGAATTACAATATTTATATTCTGTCCACTAGTGAAATGATCATCTTGGCAACCTCATTCCCAAGGTAGAGAATTAAAGAGGAAAGACAATGATTAATGATCGAGATTGTTATCTTGGTTGTATTACCATTACATGCATTTCTATATACAGCACAAATTTATGTGGATATATGATCAAATTAAATGCACTTTAAATACGTCAAGTACGCTTACCTACAGTAATTAGATACTTAGCCTACTAGACTATTTTATGTGTACAACAATAGTGATATTACTTAATTTCTTAACTGTGTTTAATATCCTAATTACCCACGCTGTAAACTTTCCCTGTGGTAAGAAACCAGAGCCCCCTCAAACCTACATCTCTCAGGTGAAGTGCACTTGCTCTATATATAGCTGATGACTGTGCAACCAAAGGCTATACACTGTTCATGGCGCTCAATTCCCTGTGGGAGCTTAAGAAACTGGAACACATGGAGAAAACTCACAACTTTCGACACATTCGTCAGTCAGCGTTGACTGACTCTTTTCGTGTAAGTTCATAGCAAGAATCAAACGCACAAAGTTAGATGTGAAAGGAGCTAATGCTTTGACCATAATGTCACTGATTCCCCAGCTAGCTGTTATCACTGATTCGTGATCACTATGATAGCTACCAAACAAGCAACAACTAGTACTGTCAATCATATAGATATATATCTATGCTGTCAATGTGTTATTTAAATCGACTTGCAATTCAGTCAAATGAAGATACCTGATAAGTTCTAAAGTATTTGTTTCATCTTTCCATATCCACTGCTCATTTAAATGAAGTGGTATCTGAAAAAATAATTCAACAACCATTACCATCCATAAACCTCTGAATATACTATATATACACAGGGGAGCTTATATACAGGAGGGCTTATACATGGACGACATTTTGTCTTAATGGTGTAATAGTGATAAACAAGTATAGTAATAGTGATCGATAAACAAGTGTTAAACAAGTATATACAGTAATAGTGATATGAATAGGGATAAACAATTAAGTGATAAACAAGTGGGCTTATATTCGGGGTGGGTTTATATATTCGAAGGGGGGGGGGGGTGTCTTATATTTGGAATGGTGTGAACGTTAGGAATGTGATGGGCTTATAGACAGGGGGGGGTATAATTAGAGGTTTACAGCATTTGGTTTATAAACCCATTGAGTGGGAGCACTCTCCCCTTGATGAGTAAAATCATCTGGTTTTAGGCCGAGGGAATTAAATCATAGAATACCGTCCTTATAATTTCAAAAATAGATGAGGCTTTTTTTCATTATTCATTATTTTAGAAATGTGTGAAAATTGGTCGAACGTCAATAAACCTGTTCATGCAATAATATATGCCAGCAATCTTTAAAACTTAAAGGCAGCGAATGCCTGCAAAGTGAAAGCTTTGCTGTACAAGTAGACTTTGCCCTTAATACATGACTTCTGCGATGAATTATAGTTTAAAGTGTAAATAATTGTTGAAATAACGAAATTTCTTGAAATGATTTTTTTGCGGCAGCATTTTGGACATGCGGGCGGAAGACGGTATTCTATGATATTCCCTCGGCCTTTATATACAGAGTAAAATAATAAAGAAACTCCTCGAAACCTCCCTAGAAACCCCTGAGAGACAATCTATATTGAGTTGAATACAACTTGCAGTATTAAAATAGTTACTTAATATATTATAAACGTATAGGCACGTAGCTAAATTATAAAGTCGATATTTTACTTCATTTTTATGGCTTACCCGTTCGGGGGTATCAGAGTCGTGAACTGTTTTGGCCATCTTACATGTCGGATAGAAAATATATGGACATATATCAACGCGATATGTTAGAATTATCTGAGAATAATAAACTTTCTGAGTTGTAAACACAGGGATTAACTTTTATCCCTTCGAACCGATACAATTAAACAAATAATTGCGCTGTTGTCATAGTGATCGTGTTCGAACTTCCAAACACTTTATGGCGGGCTTTGGCGGGAACTTTTGTTGATATTTTGAGAAATTTTTATGAAGTATTTAGAAAGTTTAGAACTATTAAAAACTATTTTATTGTGTGAAAGTGTAGTGTATTTATTCGAAACTGTATTGTATTATAAAGTAATATAAAGTATTGATGTATCCCTTTCATATATTTACTGTATTTTATACGGCTGCATTTGTCTTTATTGTTTAATGCTTTTATATACTTTAGGTTATTTACTGCACTGCATTTCCGTATTTAATCTGCATTTATTTTTACTCCACTGTATTATTTTAGAACTGCAGTTGAAATACTCTGTGACTGCACTGAAATTCGTTATTTAATGCACTTCCTTTAATTCCTCAAAGTGACTGCATTGAATTCCTTATTCACTACTGCACGTTATAATTCTCAATCTGCATTGAATTTTCCTTAAAACTACATGAACTGGTTCATTTGCTGCAGTTTATTAGTAGACTTGCATTGAATTTCTTATTTACTGCACGTTATAATTCTTAATATGCACTGAATTTCCCTCTTTTGCTGCAGTTTTTAATTCTTCACCTGCATTGAATTCCTTGTTTACTGCACGTTCTAAGCTTAATATGCACTGAATTTCCTTAAAACTGCATGAATTCCTTCTTTTGTTGCAGTTTAATTCCTTAATACGTGCATTGAATTTCTATTTTATAATACTGCACGTATTTCCGTATTGTATTAACTTGTTAATATTTATTGCACAATAAATATTGACGTGCATTAATACTGTAATAGCCAATCAGAGTAACGAATTTCCTTCATAAGTGGGCATGTCGTGGGTGTGTATTAAAAGTTTAGATGCCGTTGTACCCAGCGTCTTTTGTAATCTTATGAGTCCCCCCCTGACACACGGTTTTTATCCAGTTATTCCAGGGGGTGGAGATCAATCAAATAAATTTGTTGTTATACCTTCCTATCACCCCAAGGAAGAACGGCAACAACAATGAAGATATCTTCTGATCAGAGTATCATCAATAAAATAGAAAGTTGACGTAAAAATGGATTTAGAAAGCAGTGAGATGGGCCACACAATACGCTATTCCTCACATTCTGAGCTTGGAAAATATGTGAATGTTTTAGTTTTATACACTGGAGGAACTATTGGAATGTACGGGACAGAAGATGGTTGGTATACATATATAAATTTAACGGTTTCACTAGATCTATGATCAATATTATATTAAATAAAGCAGTTGTCTGTTTCGTAAATATGTTCGAGTTTCACTGTTTGTTACACTGAAACTATCCACTTTATAAAATGTTGCTTCTCGTAATTATAATAACTATAATTAATATTGTTAATAATTCGTAAATCAAAAGTAGTATGACATTGACATTTGACACGTGGACAAATATTGTCATATGAATGCTACACATATAGATTGATGTCTCTATGTGAAAATGGTGTGCCCATTTATGGATATGCCATGCCATTTTCACGTTGTCTTTGACGTCCTTATGTATCGATCAATTTGAAACTTCACCATCCCCCCCCCCGGGCCCACCCCAGGAATTTGAACTTTTTGAAATTTGACTGATCAAATTCTCCACCCTCTGTGCAAAAAAGTCTTCAAATGCCCCACTGTAACAAGAAATTAAGCGTTCAAATGCCCCACCTTCATATGAAAATTATGAAACAGTAAATGCAAAAAGTACAAAATATACGGAAATGTTTTTCGACAAGATAGCGAAATTCACGTAAAAAGTTTGGATACCTTGTGGAAATTTAACAGTTTTACACAATTATGTAGTACATACCTTCAAATGAAACACATAGCTTTTCCATGCCCGTTTCTTTGAGCCAGTTTTTCACAAAATTGAGCCTGTTTCCCTCGAAATCTGAGAAAACTGTATTTGCCGCCAATGCGAAGTATTTTCTGTGCATGCAGGAAGCACGCGAAAACGGGCAAAATTTTAAGACTTCCGGTTCAAATTCCCCACCCCGTTATCAAAAGCCCCACCACATGGAAGACCTAAAACGTCAAATTCCCTACTCCCTGGAGAAGACTTGAAGTCAAATTCCCGGGGTATGCCCGGGGGGGGGGGATGGTGAAGTTTCGAATTGATCGATACATTAATCTAAATCTGTCTATTAATATATGCTGCTGCGGTTTGTGTCTGAAGTCTGAACTACATGAAGAAGATTAATTATTAACAATTATATTGGATGAGGTTTTTGTGATATGCGGAATTATCAAGATCGAAGTAAGCGTTATTAGCCTAGCTGAAGGTGAGGCAGCCGAGGCTGATAAGCTTACCGAGACCTTGATAATTTTGCATATCGCAAAAACCGAATTCAATAATTGTTTTATTGTACATTTGAAGAAGAATAATCATAGTATTAACACATGAAAAATCTTACTTATGAAAACCTATCCATATTCACATTTTTTCTATGTTTGTTCAAAATTTTCCTTTCATTGCTAGTTTTCCATTGTTTGTGTTAAATACCACTTGCAATCATCGCAGGCTCATTTGCAGATAACTCGGTTATCTGCTAGCAGATAACTGAATTTTGTATAGGTTGCATGATTGTGCAATTTAACTGTAAGCTCTTATAGCCAATTAAATTGCTTTTACCAACTACAATGTATAATAACTGCATTTAAATTTGCCCCTTTCTTTTAACTCATTAATTGGCAATGGGTTATTCCATATATCCGTACACCCTCTCGATTGTGGGGTGTAATTTCTCAGGGGTGAGTGTTTGAGCTTTGAATTTCTCAGTGGTGAGCACCAGAATGCCAGTGAAACAGCTAGGACACTATTGCCTCGATAGCAAATATACCCCTCTAAATGCTGTGTCAAAATTTTACTTCTTACTGGTAGCACCTGCATGCTAGCTCATATGTACTGTATACCCAAATCCAGTATACTCATTGAATTGTCATATACATATACCAAAATCTGGTATACTCATGAGTATATCAGCCGTCCTAAGTAATGCATAAATTATACACCATATTTTTGTTTCATGTAATTGATGAGTAATACAAGCTACATTTTTAATTTAATACAATACAATGCAGTCTGATGCAGACTACCTACTGGCAGCCCAGTAGTTATTTTGGTATCTATATGTGAAGCCAAATGATTATTTCACTGAACTTGTGACTGAATTACAATAAATATGGATTGCACTTGGCAAGTGAATATAAGCTGAGGTTAAATCCATCAATGCTCATCCCTATGCATGTTCACATGTTCACTGTTTGCATGTTTATGTCCCCAAGTTTGTCAAGTGACAACAGCAACGCACAATATATGTGATTGTATGCTTTTGTATGCACATGTTACTCTTGCTATTTAGGTCTAAAATGTAGGTCCAACATGGCTGACTTTCTCAAGAAACTTCCAATGTTGCATGATGATAATTACGTACCAAATGTGAGCAAAACAAGTCCTGATGTTAGCCATGAGAGAAATATTGATGAGCTTGTTATGCCGTAAGTATTGAAATTAAGATCTTCTTTTTTACTGTGTGACAACTATATTCTGTGATTGCTTGTATACTATAGATCATTAGATACTTGTAAACTTGTAAGTGTATTACTAAATTACAGTGAAAATACAAAAAGTGTCCCACTTCCGCTTCTGTAGTTTGTTGTGATTTACTGTAATTTGTTCTGTTTTTGCGATAAAATTTAAATTTTGTTCCTTTTATGCAATGAAACTAACGAAAAATGTATTATTTCCCTTTGCTACGAATTATCATATTTAAAAATAGAAAAAACTAAGTTTTATTGCGGTATTTGCTGATAAATCGGTAATCGCTACAGAAAAACAGAACAAATTACAGTAAATCACAACAATTAAACTACAGAAGCGGAAGTGGGACACTTTTTGTATTTTCACTGTAATACAGTCAAGTAAAAGTTGAATGGAATCACGGTTCTATTAACCGTGATGGAATGCTAATGAAATTAAGTGGAATTCAAAACATTGTAATGAAATTAAAATCAAAATTATAAAATGATTAGAATATGATAGAATGAAATAGAATGGAATGAAATAGAATGGAATGAAATAAATACAACGGAATGGAATACAACAGGGATGGAAAAAGTATCGGAACCTGGGAACCTAGTTCCCAGAAATTTTTTTGAGTTGAGAGTTTTGCAGAAAATTTTCCAGAAAATATTTCAACATTTTGAGATAATTCTACTATTCTACTTTATTTACACTGTACATGCTAACATCAGCAGCCTTTTAAATATTTGACAGAAATTAATTCTTTTACCCACCCCTGCCATCACAATGAAGAAAAAGGGAAAATATATGCTCTGCAAAGTCTCCAATAAATGCAAATTAAATAGTAAACAAATAAAAGTGATGGAATAAATAAGATGATAGGACACTTAGTTAAGCGTTAGATCCTTCCTAGTTGGTCATAACTCATAATTATGGGATATAACAGGCAACTATTGCGATGTACGAGCATACAAAAACCAGCCTATTTAAGCCTATTATTATTAAAGTTACAAATAATACAATAATTATGCATTTGTTTTGTTATTTTTGTAATTGTAACATTGCAAATTTTACAGAAAATTTCTAGACTTTGATCCAGGTTCCCAGAAAGAAAAAAAAATTTTCCACCCCTGGAATACAATGGAAATTATAATGAAATTGATTAGAATGGAATAGAATAGAGCAAAATGAAATGGAATAGACTGGAATACAATGGAATGGAATTGATTGAAATAGAATGGAATGGAAAAGATTGGAATATAATGCAATGAAATAGAATGAAATGGAATAGACTGAAATTGAATAGAATGGATTAGAATGAAGTGGAATAGAATAAAATGGAATAGAATGGAATAGAAAGAAATGGAATAGGATTGAATGAAATGAAATAGAGGGACAGAATAGAATGGGATTTGATTA